GAATCAGTATTTCTTGCTATAATAAGATAGGATTTAGCAATTTTATTTCTATTAATTTTGAAGACATCAAGAAACATTCAGATAGCCAAATTCAGTATGTAGTAATGGGAGCTTTATTATGGCAATGTTAATATTTTGAGTTATATACCAAGAGTGTATAGAGTAATATTTTCAAAATTCTCAGTTTTACTAGATAACAATTCCATTATGAACTCCTTCAATCATGATGAAAACCAAGGATTAGAAACCATCTGACTTGCAAAAGAATTTGTTAGTCATTAGATAATTCACTTTCTTTAGGCTTTGCTTTTGTTTCGTGGATGTGTGATATTTTCTCTTGTCTCTCTGAGGGAAATGTGTTTCTTTTTAATAAGTCTCCTACTTGCTGTTTCCCTGAGTGGCATTTAATCCCTGTGAATGTGCTGCCCTTGCCTCGGTTGTTTGCAAATACCGTCTACCTGATGCTTGATGCTTTGATACTTGAGTGTTCTACACTTGCCTCAGGCAGGTATTCGACAGGGCTGCCAGGACGGGTATGATATGCCAGCAGATGATCCTCTGGGTGTCTTAGGACCCTGGTGAAGTGGCTTGCTCTTGTGCCATCTGGAATTGGCACAGGCTGGCTGACTGGGGTGGAGGGAGCTGAGCATGAGGGAACTCGGACCAGCCAGCCTGAAGCTTCTGGTAGGGGACTCAGGACTCCTGTTGCCTTCTTGGGGCTGTGGTTTCTCCTCTTGTGGTCTCTGTGGCTTTGAATTTCCTGGATAGTTCTCATAATTTCTGGTCACTGAAGGCTACCTTTGATTTCTAGATGTTTTATTTCTTCTGCTTTTTCTTTTTTCGTAGGGATGTAGTAATGTGCTCTACCCTGAGCTACATGCTCAGCTTTAATACTGTATTATTTTGGGCCTGGGGCTTTAGCTCCGTGGTTCTGCCGCCTGCCTTGCAAGCGCAAGGTCCTGAGTTCAATCTCCGGTACCAAAAAAAAAAATTTTTTTTTCCAATTGAGAGGCAGGTGGTAGCACCATTGAACTAAATCCCTGGCCCAATACTGTATTCTTTAAAAAAAAATTTTATTATTAGTTTTGTGAGACAAGGTCTCAGTATGTAGCTCAGGTTGGACTCAAATTCCTGGTGATCCTTCTGCCTCGGCCTCCCAAGTGCTGGGATTACAGGTGTGTGTCAACATGCCCAGCCCTAATATTTTACTCTTAAACAAAACAAAACAAAAAAACCCCAACACACACACTTTCTGCTGAGTTTTTGTTTTGATTTTTTGGAAACAGGGTCTTACTGTGTAGTTCAGGCTGGCCTTGAACTCACATGATCCTCCTGCCCCAGCCTCCTGAGTGCTGGGATTATAGGCATGCGCCACCACACCCGGCTGTGGTGTTTTAAAATACTTGTGGTAGTATATTATACCTAACACATGTGTCTTACCTTTATCCATTTTTTTTTTTTTTGGTACCGGGTATTAAACTTGGGTCCTTGGGCTTGTGGGGCAGGCGGCAGAACCACTGAGCTAAATCCCTGGCCCACCTTTATCCATTTTAAGTTCTTTGTTTTTTATTTGGTATCAGGGATTGAATTCAGGACCTTTCAATTGGAAGGCAAGCAGTGGAACCACTGAGCTAAATCCCTGGCCCTCCATTTTAAGTTCTTAATGCTTGAATGTGCTCAATTAAAAATAGGACATTGTGAAACCCTTCCTTCCTGCCCTTAGCCTTGGCATCCTTTCTTGGCAGTTCCCAATGTGTTTGGTATATAGTCTTTCATGTTTTTTTCTGATCATTTTAAACAATGCCATAATCAGCCTATTTACATTTATTTTTGTGTGCTTTTGTATCTCATTATGAATTTAATACCAAAAATAGATTGTTGAGTTAAATGGACATTTCACAATTTGATAGGTTGCCAGACTATCACATAAAAAGGTTGTTCCAATTTATAATTCTCCTAATGGCATACGACATTACCTATTTGCCAACACCAGCTACTATCAAATTATAAGATGGTTTTATCACTCTTATGACCAAAAGATGGTGTCAATTTTTATAATTTCCATTTTCTTATAATCTGCATTTTAAAATGAGGCAGATTTTCTTTTTTTTTTTTTTTGGTACCAAGGATCGAACTTAGAACCTTGCACTTGGGATGCAGGTGGCATAACCACTGAGCTAAATCCCGAGCCCATGAGGCAGATATTTAAAAATGTACATTCCTTTTTTTTGGGGGGGGGGGTGGTACTGGGGATTGAACTCAGGACCTTGCACTTGCGAGGCAGGCTCAGGTACCACTGAGCTAAATCCTCAACCCCCAAAATGTACATTCTTTCTTGAGCTAAGAAGAATAAATCTTAAAAGCTTATTGTGTGAGGGTGAAAAGGAATTTGTTTCTGCCAAATGGTATGGAACATATCTGGCATCTCTCTGGATAAGTACAGTATGTGAAGACTTAGGGTATGTGTTACATAGTGGATATTTAGTAAAAGTTTATCATCCTTCACTTCTTTATTCCTTCTATCCTTATTGAATTGATGTTCTCTGTGTGGTCTGCCATGTCCTTTTAAATGGCTCTCTTCATTTGCCCCTCTGAGATAACAGAGTGGTCTTTTCAAGGAAGATTGTGTGAAGGATTTTGGCCTTGGATTTTTGAAGTCCAGGAATTAGACAGCACTTATCTGTTATCTTCTAAAGTAAAATCTGACATTTATATTTAGTAATATGTTCTAGATTTTTGCTTTTATTTATTTAATTTATTTATCTATCTATTTATTTATTTTTTGGTATCAGGGATTGAACTCGGGTCCTTACGCTTGCGAGGCAGGTGGCAGAAGCACTGAGCTAAATCCCCGGCCCTGATTTTTGCTTTTCTTATGAAAAATGTCTCTGAGGATCTTGAGAATGATTTTTAGGAATTTTTTGGGTCAGCAGGCTCACTTTAGAGCTAGGCAGATTGCTAAAATGTTAGAATCAGAGCCTTTCACATAGGGTTGTGCTTCCCCAAATTCGTCTGTATGTTACACACAAAATCTCATTAAGATTTTTGTGTACATCAGTAACTGGTTCTAAAATTTATATGGAAAAGCAAAAGAACTAAACAATTTTGGAAAAGACCCAATGTGGTGGCCTTATCTTATTTTAGAGTCACTATATATAAATACAATGATCAAGACATGGTATTGGTAAAATGAATAGACTCCTAGGTCAAAGGAAAAGAATAAAATATAGAAAGCCCAGAAATAGACTTGCATATAATATGGTCAATTGATTTTCCACAGAGTTGCACATTTGCCCAGCAATTCAATAGACTAAGGGTAGCCTTTTCAACAAATGATGCTGAACAATCAGGTATCTGTGCATACAAATACAAACCTAGAACCTCATCCTATCCCACATACAATATTTGACTCCAAATATATCATAAACCTCAATGTGAAACCTAAATATGAAAACTATAAAACATTTTAAAGGACAGCATGGAAAATCCTGTGACCTTGGGTTAAGCAAAAATTTCTTAGATACATCATCAAAAGATCCAGGAAAAAATGATAGATTTGAGAGACACTGTTAAGAAAATCAAGGGCCAGAGATGTAGCTCAGCAGCACTGCTCCTACCTTGCGAACACAAGGACCTGAGTTCAATCCCCTGTACCAAAAAAAAAAGAAAGAAAGAAAAAGAAAATACAGTAAATTAAAGACAGTATTTACAAAACTTGTGCCAGAGATGTAGATCTGTGGTACAGCACCTGCCCAGCAATTGTAAGGCCCCCAAGTTCAATTTCTTGTACTACAAAAGAAAAAAAAGACCAGAAAAAATTTACAAAACTCATCTGATAAAAGACTTTTATTTTAAGTATATAAAGAAGTCCCAGAATTCACTAATAAAACAAACAGTCCAATTTAAAAATAGTAAAAATGGCTGGGGATTTAGCTCAGTGGCGCCACACCTGCCTTGCAAGTCCAAGCTCCTGAGTTCGATCCCTGGTACCTAAAAAAGTTGTAAAAAAAAAAAAGTGACCATTCAGTTTGCCAAAGATAAAGGAATGGCAGACACATATGCGATGTTCATCATGCTTAGTTCATTAAGAATGAGACATAAGGGCCGGGGATTTAGCTCAGTGGTTTCGCCGCCTGCTGTGCAAGCGCAAGGACCCAAGTTCTATCCAAAAGAAAAAAAAAGAAAAGAATGAGACATAAGTGTCCTGTGTGAGCTGATTTAAAGGAAGCACAGAAGCGCAGCCCTCGGCTTCTAGAAGTGCTTCTAGTGTCTTCTGTGCAAGCCTCATCTCCAGGGCAGCAACGGTGCCTGAACTTCCTGTTGGGAATTGTTTAAATAACTCGGTGTCTTTGGAGTATTTGATTTCCATCACGGATCCTGAGCCTGTGGTGCTTCATGATGGTTTTGTTGCGTTTAATGATAATCTTTGATGGTAATTTATAGAAGGAAAAGGACAGCCTTGCTTATTGGAAAGGCCTTTCCTGTAATGGTATTACTTATAGTGCTTGGATCAAGTAGAAATGAATGACTCAGTTCTGTTCTGAGTTTCCATTTTTTAAAGCTTTAAATTGTGGACAGTTTTTATGTACTTTAAGCTAATACTATGAAGAGAATAAAAATTCTACTAATAAAACAGAAGTTACAAGCGCAAGGACCCGAGTTCGATCCCCAGTACCAAAAAAACAAAACAAAACAGTAGTTAGAGTGGGGAGTAGTAGTACACATCTGTTATCCTAGCACTCTGGTAGGCTGAGATGGGAAGATTGCAAGTTCCAGCCCAGCCCGGCCAACTTAGCAGTTTAGCTAGATTCTGTCTCAAAAAAGTGACGAAGTTAAAAAATTAAGAGACAAAAAAAACAAAAAGAAAAAGAAGAGCTGAGGATATAGGTCACTGTGAAGTCACTGGTTCAATCTTAAGTTCCAAAACAAGGCAGTAGTTGGATATGATTTTTTATTTTTCTGTTTGTTACATTGGCAGTTATTCTCTGTGATTGTTGCAGGTACTCCATCTTCTAAACCAACTGTGCTAGCCAATGGTGACCATGCCATAGAAGGGAATGATACTACAGGTAAGTGGTCCCCAAGTTCCCCAGATGTGTGAGTGAAACATGCACAGGAAACCCTTGGCATGCTCCTTTGAAGAGGATTGCTAGTGGAAGCACATGAATTATTTCCGAGGTTATTGTTATTGTTGGACGTAAGGCCATCTGCTACATAAAATCTCTAATGTTGGAAAGAGAAAAATGAGTTTCCTCTGATAGTCCTTAAATATCTGTTGGAGCTGTACTAGTCATGATTGGATCTATCTTAAAAATACTCTTATGGATGCAGAGTGCTTATCATCAGATTGTGTTACGTGGGAGGCATTTGGCGTCTCCAACTCTTTAAGGCAGGTCTCTTTCCTGAGTGTAGGCTGTACTTAGTTTGCTTTCCCAACCCCAATATTAGGAAATCTGCCAGGGATACATTACAGGCGCTCTCCTTTGTCTTTTGTCCTCGGTCTGTTTTTTCTATATCTTTCCCATAACTATTGCTTTTGAGATTTATTTCTAACCCTGGCCCACTAGTGAGGCTTTGATGTTCTCAGCTTGCATTGAGCTCCTGTGGGTGCTCCCCTGATAGCCAGCATGAACCCCTGGCCTAGTATCTTTGTGACAAGCAGAGTTCTCAGTGTTCTAGCAGGAGTCTCTCCACAGCAGGGTGCATTATATAAATCTTTTCTTAGGTAGCCTGTGTGAGAGTCATGTGTTGTGCTTTTATAAATAACTGCACTTAATTTGCAGTTGTGACCAGGCTGACGCAGTTGACCCGAATGAGTTGGCTTCTGGTGCTCCAGCACACTGTGTTCTGGGCCCAGCGTTTGAGGTGCATTAGCAGAGTGGAGGCCTGCACTGGACACTACTGCTGCTGTGTTTCTCTACTTGGCTGAGTACCTCGGCCACCAGAAGCCTTCCCCGGAGCTGCCATGGGGTTGTTCAGCTTCTGAGGCCTCCAGAAAGCTGGAGGCTAGCAATGGCAGCTGTTGCAGGAGTTAGTCTTTATTCCGTGACTTAAGAACTGTTGTATATATCTCTGTACCTCAGAGTTATTGATAATTAAGTTCTATTTGTTGTGACATATATGGATATTAGTTTTACCCAGTGACATTAACATTAGCAAGTGATAATTTAGGTATGCTTTGAAAGCAGTCATCCACATGCTTGGTTTTAAGATAATAGATGCAAATATCTCTGTGATTAAAGAAGAAACTGGTACATGAACTTTTAAAAAAAGAGTAAATTCAGCTTTCTTTTACCAGGAGATAGTGTTAGAGGAAGGGAATGCTAGAGGTGTTGATTCGATGATCCATTTGGAAAGAGTGGATGCCATTTTCACCTAAGAGGGAATGAGCAACCCAAAATAGGCTCAGTTTCTTCTGCAGCAGGTGTTGATTCTGCCCAGAAGAGACTCAGTCTCTATGCAGTAGTCTCTGCACTCCCAGGTCTTACTAATGCAGGGAGAAAGAGAAGGAATCCATGCAGCCTGGCCTTAGTGTTTTATGACTTTGTTTGCTGGTGACAAAAGCAGCTGAAGTCTTTAAGGAACTACCCAGTGACATTACGAGAGCAGGTCCTTCTGGTCGCAGGTATCTTTCTACCCCTAGGTAGGGCATAACTTGTACCTCTGGGTTGTTTGAATTCTGAATTTAATCTCTAAAGTACTTTAAAGCAGGCATTTTACTAAGAATATGCATGTTTCAGTGGAGAAGGGAGGAAATAGGGAGGGGGTGATGTGCATGTTGTGACTCAATTCTAATGAGCATCTAGCTCATTAGATTTTGCTATTTTGATTTCTCTCAGAGCACTATCTATAGTCCTGAGAGCAGCTCCGCTCCACAAATAACCACATGTAGGGGTTTATAAGCATCTTGCTCTGTTGAACTTGCTGTTTACTAATGACCTGTGCTTTTCTGCCCTTTCCTTCCCCTTCCCCTCCTTCTTTTTCCGCCCTTTCTATTTTTTTCCTCCCAGAAACCTAGCGTGTCTCTCAACACTGGGGCTGCGGCAACACCAGACCAGTGATTTTTCCTAAGCACCGTTACACTCCTAAAACCTTCAGCATTTTGCAGCTTTGCTTTTCCTTCCGGGACACGATGTAGAAGAAGCTGAGGGTAGTTCTTCGGGGCCTCTTTCTGCTGATGCCTGGGCAAACCACCTCCTCCTCCTTGTGCTCTGCAGGGCTTGATGGAACCTCCTTTCCCTTTGTGAGCACAGTGTGCAAGAGCAATTCTTTTTAATTTTAGTATTTTATAAAAGTCATCTGATGTCTTTTATTTCTTGTTCTTTTAAAATTTTATTATTTAATTCAATCTCACATTTTTTTCTTTACACATTTTTGGTTGGACTTTTTCATTTGCTTTTGAATATTCAGCATGAATCAGGATATTGTAACCCAAATGAGAACATGTGCTTTCATAAAGGGGCTGAGGTCACCAGTACTGCAGTGAATTTCCCTTCCCTGTCCCTCCTCTTCCCTTCTGTAAGCTTGCTTTTTAGTGAAGTTTAATCTGTCAGCCTATTTGTTTCACTTTATGAATATCTGGATGATACCTATTTTAATTTAAAGTTTTCTAGTTTAGAGTAGCTCTGGGTAAACTTTGAAGAGTATTTCTCCAAATTAAGTTCTTTTTTTTGGTACTGGGGATTGAACTCGGGATCTTGTGCTTGCAAGGCAGGCACCGGAACCACTGAGCTAAATCCCCGGCCCTTAAGTTCCTTTTTGTTATTTGGAAGTTGGGCCAAAGTTATCTTTATCATGAAATTTTATGTTTATCTAGAGCTACAGTCTTCTGAAAATTTGACTACTCTATTATTGTGTATCGAATTTTTTTCGGTACCAGGGATCGAACTCGGGTCTTTGCGCTTGCGAGGCAGACTGGCGGAACCACTGAGCTAAATCCCCAGCCCTTGTATTGAGTTTTTATAATCAGAGTTAGCCTTTTGAGCAGGATCATCAGCTATCAAAATAAAAATTGAGAAGTTAAAGAAAATGGAACTAAGTCATACTGTCCTCCAATCCTGTATTGTTGGAATACTGAGATGTTATAAGATAAAAAGTAACTTCTGTAACAACACCAAAGTGAATATAAATTGCAACATATTTAAAACTACAATTAGGCAAGTTTCTAATGGGATTATTTTTTCCTGCCCTGGGGATCAGACCCAGGCTCTTGTACAAATTAACCAATTGCTCTGCTGCTGAGCTAATATCCTCAGCCGCCCTTGTTTTGGTTTGGTTTGGTTCTGAGATAGGGTCTTGCTGAGTTGCTCAGGCTGGTGTTGAGCTCCTGGGCTCAAGCAGTCCTCCTACCTCAGCATTCTTATAGCTCTGAACTGCAGGCACACACTGCCACACCCAGATTCTGATTTGACTCAATGTCTGTTCAGGATTGATAGCTCTTTGAACTCGAGATAACTTTTTATACTGCATTCCAGTAGGATTGGTGGATCACACCCAAGACATGGGTGTAAAATTTCTTATTGTGAGCATTAACCTTACATTCACACGTTCTGAGGATTGTTTCGATGGTTCTTTCTTATTGTTCTTTATTTTTCCAAATTAATAGGTTAAAAAAATCTAGAGTCATTTAGGATAAGTACTGTGCATCTTCACAATAGTAAACTTTGAATGAGTTTTTAGAAATAGAATATAAATGATAGACTATGTTTTGAAATCTTAGAGAACAGTTCTGGTTTCAAATCTGGAATAAAGTGCTCTTTTAAGTTTTTATTGTTACTGATTGTATAGAGTTTTTTTTAAAACTCTTAAGGTACTGATCCTTTCAGATTAAAGGAAATAATTGGTACCATATCCAGAAGAAGGTAAAGTAAGTGTAATTGCAGATCCTCTGGTATGAAACTACTTTGGAGAGGTGAAATTTGGATCATGAAAGTATAAGCAGTCCCCCTGCAAGGACTTCTAACATTCAGGAAGCACCTCCTCTTCAACAGGGATCTAGTCGCAAGGGTTGATGTCTCTCCCAAGTACTCTGGCCCTGGAATCTCAGCAGGAGATGCTTGAGGGAGGGACCACTTTTTTTTTTTTTTTTTCCTTGGGTACCGGGGATTGAACTCAGGACCTTGTGCTTGTAAGGCAGGTGTGGTGCCACTGAGCTACATCCCTGGCCCAGGAGGGACCACATTTGAGAGGGAAGAGTTTAGGTTTATCAGTTTATGAAATAGAAAACTCCTACCCCAGGAAAGTACACCATCAAATCACACACAATTCTCTCCATTTTGGGTGTGCAGTTGTTTTGTAGGTTTTTGTGTAGAAGACTTCAAAACTGGTAGTACTGCCTTTTAAAGATTGTGTTGACATCTTTCTGCTGCTTCTCACCAGTCTGTATCTTGTCCAAGGGCCGGGTGGACAGAGAGGGCTGGGTGTAGCTCTCGCACACACTCATACTTCATGATTGGCCTTGATTTATTCTAGTTTTATTTCCATTTGATTATGTTTGCTTTTGTTTGAGAATTTTAAAAAATGTATTTTCTTTTTGAATGTATGGAATTGTTGAATTTTTCTACTGACAACTAGCTAAAAATTGGTTTATTACCTCTTTTTTCCATTGGATGTTTAACTTTGAAAGAAGGAATGTAATGTTTCGCATACATTTGAAGTAGGCAGTCCCATAAAACATGCTGTATTGTTGCAATGCTCAGACACGCCAGACTGCTCAGGGTTGCTCTATTGAAATGTGATGTTTTCCATGTTTCTCTCTCTGTCTCTCTCTCTCTCTCTCTCTCTCCCTTTCTCCCTCTCTCCCTCTCTCCCTCTCTCCCTCTCTTCTTCTCCCCCCCCCTTTCCTCTCTCTCCCCCCCTTCCCCTCTCTCTTCCTTTTTTGGCCCAGTGTTGATGATGTAGAACTTGTTTTCAAATAATATTTTTCTAACTTCATTCACATACCTAAGTTTGTATTTTTTGTGACTTTAGACTTTAACAGTTTGTATATGGGGACATTTTAATGTAATCATTGTGCTAAAATAACTAATAAATGTCTTGCATTAACACCTCACAGACTGGATTTTGGTTG